TTCTTGACATCTTCCCCCACCAGTCCTTAAGATTTTTAGCAAAGGTTATGTTAAATCAAAGATATTCGTTCAATATGTTAATGGAGAAAATGTTTGGCCCATTTGCAACAACAGTTCTTATAAACATAATTAATGATGTTATTAATCGGTTTCATAACATTCATATATGGCAGAATTTTAACGTGTATAAATGCAATATGGATTTTGATTCGCTTTAATTCGAAGTGTAAAATCTTAGTATCTTGTTGTTGGTTTTGCTGGGTATCGGGGTATGCTTATGTACGCATACGCGAAATTGTTCATACTTGTTGCTATTCAGAGTCCAGCAGCATACTGGGGACCACATGCAAATATTAAGCTGAGTTTGAAATATGTAAAACGCATGTATATATGATATAGCTTGCATTTTAGATAATTCATGAGGGCCCCCCCAGTGGTATGTCTGCGGACTTACAACGCTATAAACCGGGTTAGATACCTGTGGTGGGCAGACCACAGATAGCCCATTGTGTAGCTTTATGCTTAACTTCAAATCCAATAATCCATAAGGCCTTCTTTTAACGTTTGGAAATTAACTGTGTTTTTAGTGTTTATCTTGCTTAAGGTTTCTAAAGGAGATCGGCTATTAAATATTTATTTAATAGACTTTCGTCCGGGGTTGGTCAGTGGTATGTTTATGGATTTACAACGTTAAAATTCGGGGTTCTATTTCTTCTAGTGGACACAATAGAAAGCTCGATGTGGCTTTTTGCTAAAAAAAAAACAAAAACAAGTAATGAATTTTTGCCCCTCAGTGGCTCAGCGGTAAGTCTGAAGGCTTATAACGCTAAAAACCGGGTTGCGATACCCATTGTGGGCACTGCACAAGTGGCCCGTTGGGTAGCTTTCTGCTTAATTATAAACAAACAAAATTAGAGTTTTTTACTAAAATCCCAAACTCACTTAGACATCAACTTAATATTTTACTTCGAACATTTTCACGTTCTCGTAAACCGATGAATTGATTATTTTCGTTTGCACCAGCAAACTGTGAACAGGTTTGAGTGCTTTATCGAATATGAGGCCAACAACTGATCGAAATGGAAACTACACCATAAACAAAACAGACGTGAGAGATAATAACCAAAATAATACAGTCCTTTCAACACCCAGTTTGCAAAAATAATCATTAATTTTTCGCTAAGCACACTTATTCGTAATACAGTGTTGTATGAGATTTTACGTTGAGCAGAAGAAATTAATGGCAAATGCATAGGGAGGGAATTTTTACTGAGAAGACGCAGGTGTTTTTACTATACTTCATGTGGCAAGAGGCAAAAACAAGTGACCAGAACGTAATATTATTTCCTGTGTATTTCGTTCATTAAAACCATTCAGGACCACGTTAAACAATACTTACAGTACGTTATCTAAACGTCATAACGTAAAATATAATACGAAACTATACACGTGTTTCCAGAAATTCGTTCGATTTGTGTCTCAATAAATGGTTTA